GATTTTAACTTTTTAGTTATTTTAATGCTTTAAAGAGCAATTTTAGATTGTAAGATTCTAGTGTTTTGCTATCTGTTCAGCAAACTATAAAAGGTACAGCTGTATTAAAACCAGAGAGAAAGGCTGCATGGCTAGAAACTGTAAAAAAAAAGAAAGTCAAATAATAGTATGTGAGAGAGTAGCAATATCATTGGGTTCTTATTGGTCAGTGTTAGAGGAACTCAGCTTAGCCTGACAGTTAACCTGCTTTAGACCAGGTTAGTTTCCCAGCATAAGTTGCCACAGTGACTGAGGTTGATCTATGTTAAGTTTGCTTTATGGAACCAAATCATTTGACAATGAGTCAGACTAACTGAAATAAGCCTGGCTTATTTGGTAAACTTGTTTTATGAAACGGGCCTCGAGGCATTAAATGTGATCATATTTTCTCCATTGCATCGAATCGCATTGTGTTGAATCGAATCGCACTGCATCGTAACAGGGGTGAATCGTACCGCATCGCATCGGTAGCGGCTTCATATGTATCGTATCATTGGCTATGCATCGAGATGCGTATCGTATCGGCCTGAGTCATGAGATGCACATCCCTAATATATATATTCTCTATTTAAGTAATAAAATTAAATAAAATTAAATAACCATTCCTTGAAATCATGTTTAGATGCTACACACCAGGGTGCAGAAGACGCATTGGCACTGGGTGATGGTGGTCATTTGCTCCAAGGGAAACTCTCCAAGACACAGCTTACAGGACACCAGCGGGTCCAGGGCCAAATCCCAGGTGGGTCGGTACCTAGCTGTGGTCATGATGCCTGCCGCAGAGCTGAAAAACACAGAATGGCTGCTATTAGAGAAAGCCCACACACTTTAATACACGTATACAAACAGTGCAAAGCTTTTAACCGCTGTCAATCTGAAGTGCCTATTGCTGCTGCAGCCACGATAAGTGCTTTTGTGATGCCCAGCGCTAATATCCGTGGCATCACAAACACCAACCCTCTAAATGCACATTAAATTAGCCACATTTCGTTTAGAGAAGGTCTAACAGATGCGGTGCTGAAAGGGTCAAATACATTTACACCCATTTATATTATATAACTGAAGGCCTGGCCACGAAGTGCTTTTCTGAGATGCGTTCGGGAGTCTAGTCTAGTCTGACTGTAATGGAATGAGAAGTCGGGCCGGATAGACGGAGCAATTTCTCCTCTTCTGCTGCTGAATGAAAGATGACTTCACTGCGTGGTACTCCATAAATGAGAAGGTCAAGACAGAAAAAGAGAGAGAAAAAAAATCTTACTTTACTCTCTGCCTACGTCTCTCCTTTTTACAGTTTTTTCAGAGAGGGATATTTTTGGAAGTCTCGACTATGAGACACTTCCATTTTCTCACGCTGAAGTGGGCTGTTTTGCACAGAGAGACTCGTGTCTTAAGTGTTTACAGGAAGTGCCTGTGAGAACAGCAACACTTTGCCTTGGCTGCTAGGCAATGGGGGAATGGGAACGAGGCAGATACGCTTCTGCCAGTGGCAGTATGTGTATTTAAAGGAGTCATATGATGCTACATGCACTTTTACAAGTTGTTTGTACTGAAATGTGTGTTGGCAGTGTGTGTACACAACCACCATAAAATGATAAAAATCCACCAGTGTTTTTTTTTTTTAATCTGCTCAAATATTTACCCATTTCTCAAATCGAGCCGATCTCAGATGACTGTCTGTATGATGTCACAAAAACAGGCCCCTCCCACGATAGTTTGATTGACAGTAGCGTTTCAGCACAGACTGGACTGAAGTCTTACCTTAGACCCGCCCTGAGTGAGCTGTCATGAGTCCGCCATTGTTTCACCGCCTGAGCAGATGTAGACATGTAAGGTTTTTTTTAATGAATCTTTGCAAATCGCCTTTCCTAATGTGCCAATTAGCAAGTTTCACGATGAATGCGGCTAAAGTAAACTACCTCAGAGAGCAGCTCAGAAGAGAGGGGCGGGGTCAGCAGAGCTCATTAACATTTAAAGGAAAATGCTACAAAACTGCGTGCTCTGAAAAGAGCTGTTTTTGACAGGGTAAAAAAGGTGTTTTTTACACTACCATTGATAAATTTTAACCAAACTATGTTACAGACTTTTCATTAAGACCCTAAAGAATCATATCAACTTGTGAAAAATGGGCATCCTATGACCCCTTTAAGGCAGGTGCTGTTCTGCACTTGTGGCAGGATGTCAGGTATCTTGTGCTGAGAATTACTTAGGATGCTTTTAAACATTGCAGTCAGTGCTGTACAGAGTGGTGTGGTGGTTAAGGTTTCTGCTAGTTACCGTAAAGCACTTACTGTAACACCAGGTTATGTAGGTCCTGTTTATGGCACAGTTCTATGATACTGCATGAAATTTGCCTAAAAACAATTTAATTCACCCTAGTTGTGTTCTGATAAAGATTTCTTGTTGTGTGCTAGTTGGTTGTCAGAGCATATAGAGTGCAATAATTGGGTTCCAGATGTAAAATTCCATTCATTTTCTACATATGGGAATTATCACTATTACTTCTGAACTTTTAAGGACAGGAGTGTAAGCTACAAGGTCGTTTATCAATAGTAAATGCTTTTGTTTAATGCAGTTTAATGTGGGTAATGTAGTTTCTCACCAGTATTATCTTTATATTAGGTGGCTTTAACTTAACTACTATGTACTTACATAAAAAAATAAGTACAATGTACTTATTGATTTCATATTGTATTGCAAAACACTTTTGCTGCTGTTGAGTAGTCAAACCTGTTCATTAGAAGGGGGTGTTCCAATACTTTTGTCCATATAGTGTATGTACACAATAATTGCATTGTAAATGATTAATTTAAATGTAAGTAGAGTAGTAGTTAAGGCCACTTAATATAAAGTGGGACCGTAGTTCTTTCTCTCATTAAATTCGTTAAGTACACATTCTTGTACTTTCGACGATTTTCAAATACTTGTTTTGCTTCAAAGTTCGTAATGTTATAATTCACCTCATAGCTGGTTTGTTTGGTTTGTAGCTTATAACTCTTAAGAATTTTTTTAAGGCCTAAGGAAAAAATGAATAGGAAAAATACTTTAGGAAAGTGGGCGAGCATTGTTGCAGTCTTAGCGGATTGCTAAGTAGTTGCCATGGAGTTTTAGGTGATTGCTAGGCTATTCTATACGGTTATATGGGGTAAACGCTATTAAAAGTACACCTCTACTCAAAAAAAATTGCACAATAAGGTATATAGATGTCCATATTAGGGATGCACAATATAGAATTTTTGCCGATATGCCGATATTTTTCAACTCATTTTGGCCGATACCGATATATTTCCTTTTGTTTGGAAACAACACCAAGTCTCTCCTGTGCAGAAATTATACCACAAGCCCGCCGGCCGCGCCGTTCTCAAGCCCGCACGCCGCCGCTCACTTAGGCCCGCCGGCCTCCCCTCACTCTAGCCCGCCACCGCTCACTCAGGCCCGCCGGCCTCCCCTCACTCTAGCCTGCCGCCGCTCTCTCAGGCCCGCCGGCCTCCGCTCACTCTAGCCCGTCGTGTGAAACATGTTCAATTTTTTTGTTTTCTGCAGCGACTCGGAGCACTTTTCATACCCTTTTTTCTGGCTGAAGCACATTTGTTTCAATCTATAAGAATAATCAGCCTACACTACCAGTCAAAAGTTTTTGAACAGTAAGATTTTTTTTTTTTTTTAAAAATTTTCTTTTGCTCACCAAGGCTGCATTTATTTGATCCAAAGTACAGCAAAAACGGTAAAATGTTGAAATATTTTTACTATTTAAAATTGCTTTCTATTTGAATAGATTTTAAAATGTAATTTATTCCTGTGATCATACATTTTTTTTTACAAATTTTCAGCATCATTACTCCAGTCTTCAGTGTCACATAATCCTTCAGAAATCATTCTAATATGCTGATTTGCTGATTATCAATATTTAAAACAGTTGAGTACTTTTTTTTTTCAGGATTCTTTGATGAATAGAAAGATCAGCATTTATCTGAAATAAAAAGCTTTTGTAACATTATACACTATTCCATTCAGTATAATTTTTATTATTTTTTTGGGAAAGAAATTATAGAAATTAATACTTTTATTTAGCAAGGATGCTTAAAATTGATCAAAAGTGATGATAAAGGCATTTATAATGTTACAAAAGATTTCTATTTCAGATAAATAGTGTTCATATCGATATCGGAATTATATCGTACCGACCGAAATTAAGAAATATATCGTGATATCAATTTTGGCCATATCGTCCAGCCCTACCCTGAGCACATGCGAGTTAATGCATTCCTCCTATCAGCAAGACATATCGGCATAATTTTTCATATCGGGCTGATGCTGATATTTACATTTAATGCCATTATCGGCCGATTCCGATATCAGTCCGATAATATCGTGCATCCCTAGTCCATATCACAAATTATGTAATGGTACACAGCAAAGTTTAATACTTTTCTTCAGCACTCACCTTAATAGGTTGCATATTGAGAGAAGACAGGTTTTGCATAAGACAATCAAATGTTATTTGCACAGAGCATAAGCACAGAATTAAAAAAATTCCCCTTAGTGCTACAGAAGTCAAATAGCTCTTAAGCTCTCATTCATCATTTCCATAAAAAGTCTTGGCTGTTTCCGCTTGATAAGTTAAACGGGATGAAGTATTGATGGCTTGATAATGCACCACTGCAGCCTCCTGTATCTCAAGAACAGAGATGCCAAAGAAAGCTGATTTTGCTGGTCGAGCTCAGAGGTCTTACATCACCCTCCCTTCAATCTGTAAAAACCTGTCTCGCTCGTCCACATCCATCCATCTCTGGTGCTCTTTCTCTCTGGCATCATCATCCACCTCTGAGCAACACAGAAGAAAAGACCTCACTCACTAGATATCTCATGAAACAAATGGGAATTACATATTTTTGGCCTAGGAATCAAGGAATTTTTGGCGAAGGAATCAAAAATGAAATTCTGTTATTTTATTATAATTTGATATTAAAAAATGCTAAAAAATATACTAAAAAATGCAATGCTTCTTTAAAAGCACTAAAAGAATCTTAGAACTAGAATCATTAATTCCAAGCAATCCCCATCCTATTTCACACACCCTCTACATCAATCATCAAGGTCTGCAGAGACAAATGTTCTGTGAGAAAAGGTGGTGCATGGGAAAGTTCACTGAGCTGCATTACTCAGAAAGCAATTATCACTGTCCAACACCGAAACAATAACAAGGAAAAACCCAAGTAATCCACAACAAGGCAGCCTTTATAGAGAACATTACTATGCCCTCATTTCAGTTTCTTATCAGATCACTAAACAAAGAAAACAATAATTTATCATGCCATTTGATCTACAACATTATGAAATAAAGTCATGTTGCAACTTACATTAAGGGATAGTTCACACAAAAATGACAATTATGTCATCATTTACTCAGCCATGTATCAATGAAATGCATTTCTTTCCTCTATGGAAGAGAAAAGGAGATATTTTGAAAGTGTCTCAGTGCTTTTTTTGTCCATACAAGGAAAGTCAGTAGGGTCTAGACTTGTTTGGGACTCCATCGACTTTCACTGCATAAGACAATCTTCACAATATCTTCTTCGGAGAGAAGAAAAAAGTCATACAGGATTGAGAAGAAATGGGGGTGAGTAAATCAAGACAGAATTTACATCTTTACTACTCGTGACTCCTGGATTTAATGGTCCATCTACAGTAGCTGTTACAATATATACAATGTAAACACATCCATGTTCAGGTGAACCTGAAACCAGACTGATTATTCAGGGTTTCCTTAAGACCAAATTAGACATCCCATTGACTCGACGGTTTTGAAAATACATAGTTTCCACATTGTCGTTACTATCATAAACCTGTGGTAACTTTCTAAAACAATTAATTAAATAAAAATCTTCTTATATTTTCTAAAGGAAATGTCTTATTCATCTAAGCATCAATACCTATAGTATTTTGGCTGACAGTATAATTTCCATGACATTTGCTGTTTCTCAGATGGTCACAAACATACTAGTAAATAGTAAGTCTATTACCTTATCTTCTTCCATACAGTTCTTTTCCTTCTTTAGATGTTCAGATATGAAATAGGTGCAGAAGGTGGAACCTCTCAAAGGTGCTGGTCTCTAAGTCTCCCCTCCATTATTTATTCTCCGAGAGAAATGGTTCAGTCTCATAATGACAGCTGAGAAGTACAGATGCCTGAATATTTCAAGATATGATTCACAAGTCTCAGTCCTAGCCGCCACAAACATGAACACAATGTTCCCTTACTCAACTTTATCTGACTTATGGGTTCTACTTAATCATTACTGAAAAGAGTAATGGGCTCAGTTCATCATCATTTATCACAATTGTGATTACATAAAAGCGTCATATTTCACAATAAACTATTGTGTTGTAATACTGTAGGGTTTCATAACACTGTCAGACAATAATTGCATAAAGGAGATCAGTCGAATGCCAAAAACACACCAGACTGAGATGAGAACAGATATAAGTTTTGCTTTTCCCACATTATAATATTGAAGAATGAACCGACGGGGAATATATGATTACACTGAAAAATTAGGCTATGCCCAGAAAACAGGCCTACGTATCGACATCACAACTTGATCTTTATAGAAGCTCAGTAAGTCCAATGTGGCTTTTCAAATGTTGTTGAGTGTCATTTCCTCCCACTGGATGTTGGCAAGGTCAAACTGAACTCAACATTTTTTCCTTGCTCTGTTACTTTTGAAAAATCCAGCATATTGTGAGTTTGACTATTTACTAAAACTAACAATTTATGACGTGTAGCAAGTGTTTTGCTCAGAACATCTAAATTCACTAAATTCTACTTTTGAAGTTTTTTTCCCCAATAGATTTGATTATCAAAGTTAAATTATTTATTGCTAACAAAACAGCATTTTAATAAAAGGCACCAATGTTCAATAAATAACCCAGTTATTTGGATGAAATCCGAGAGCTTTCTGATCCTGCATAGACAGCAACTCAACCACCAGATTAAGGCCCAGAAAGGTAGAATTATAGGTAAAAGTAAGCATGAACCACTGATGTCACATGGACTATTTTAACGATGCCCTTACTACCTTTCTGGGCCTTGAACGTGTCAGTTGCGTTACGGTCTAAACACATGGCGACTTTGTAAATAGCTACAGAGGAAAAACTGGGCATCATACACTGAACGTCAAATGCTCTGAACAAACATATAATCCAATGCTCTGAACAACCATATAATCCTCAGGTGCGATACGAATCTGCATTAAAAAATAAACCATTTACTTTTTCCTAATGCTGGGGTCCATCTGAAGACTGTACAGATCAGAAATGGCAAAGCAAACTTTTATTTTACTCTTCCAATATGTATACTGAACCCAGTGTAGACAGCATCACTGATTTTATATATATATATGGGCCCCGCCCATCTGTAGTGTGATGAAAAAGATGATAAAAGTAGGCTATTTGTCACATGCCACATGCAAATTTATTTGACTCTGACTCTTGACTCAGGATTTACATGGAAGACAAGAAACTAGTGCATAAAGCTAAAAACTTCGAGTGGCCGTGACCCTGTGTGGACAAACGCTGCTGTAATGTCAAAGTGAAACACAGGCACGCATATGTAACTCTTCCCTCACTGTTTGTTTGCCCTTGCCAAACGACCCACATTTATCACCCAAAGCGATTGAGTGCTCTTTTATTTTTGGCTCCGTCTTTATAAACTTTGGGATCCCAGAGGTGAAACATTACCAGTGAGCAGCCAGGAAATATTATCTTCAGCTCCCAGTAGTGAGATCAAAACTGAAATCTAAAACAGGCTGCTTTACTGAACTGATACATCAAGCGATCATCCTCCACTTCATTCATCGAGGGTTATTTTGTAGTTTAGTGACTCAGACATGGCTACAATAACAATCCTGCATGAAAACATGGGCCAATGCCAGCCTTCGTCATTCATGACACCAACGGTCTCTTCTCTAAAGAAGTTTCCTTGAACGTCATGGACTAGATTAATAGTCAGCACTTCCAAAAGACTAGTCTAAATAAGAAGGCTGTGTTTTTGAGAACTCCAGATTAATCAAAGTATATAACTAAATCAGTTAATTTCCAACTACGTTTACAGAGATGGTATCCTTTTTGGAAAAAAGCACAACTTGCTTTGCCCAAATACAGCTAAGTCCTGGTAGTAGGCTTTACATAGTTTCTAGCTGGCCCAAAGTGGTTCAGGTGGTTGATCAACTGAACCACCATTAACTACTATTGACCTAGTAATAGAAACAAATAAAGATGGTCATTTAATCATCCAACAACTGTCTAGTCAATTAGTGAAGCCTAGAGGTGGGCGATATGACCAAAATTTTATTTCGTGGTAACATGAATGACAGACAGCAGGAATTTTGCAAAATTTTTGCTGTCACTTTAAGAGCTGCCCGGATCCAATATACTGTTACACATGTGTTTTCTTTCTCAGCTATTTGCTTTCACGTAAGACCTACATTACTGTGTTTGAGAATACTTGCAAAGACGGGCATTTTGAAAACATACAAGTGTGTGTATTTAACTATTGACAGCACTCTGACAGTCTCTCAGACAGCACGTCACATATAGCGGAATGTGTTCTCTTTCGCTGCTGATTGCATTTCAACGGCTTAAAATCACTTGTTTTTAAAACGCAATGCTTAAAAAGTTTACGTTTACAGAGATGGTATCCTTTTTGGAAAAAAGCACAACTTGCTTTGCCCAAATACAGCTAAGTCCTGGTAGTAGGCTTTACATAGTTTCTAGCTGGCCCAAAGTGGTTCAGGTGGTTGATCAACTGAACCACCATTAACTACTATTGACCTAGTAATAGAAACAAATAAAGATGGTCATTTAATCATCCAACAACTGTCTAGTCAATTAGTGAAGCCTAGAGGTGGGCGATATGACCAAAATTTTATTTCGTGGTAACATGAATGATAGACAGCAGGAATTTTGCAAAATTTTTGCTGTCACTTTAAGAGCTGCCCGGATCCAATATACTGTTACACATGTGTTTTCTTTCTCAGCTATTTGCTTTCACGTAAGACCTACATTACTGTGTTTGAGAATACTTGCAAAGACGGGCATTTTGAAAACACAAGTGTGTGTATTTAACCATTGACAGCACTCTGACAGTCTCTCAGACAGCACGTCACATATAGCGGAATGTGTTCTCTTTCGCTGCTGATTGCATTTCAACGGCTTAAAATCACTTGTTTTTAAAACGCAATGCTTAAAAAGTTGTGCAGACTTTAAATTTTTCGTGACCACGTGGCACAACAACGTCACGTGCGCATGTAACTGTGATCGAGACGATAGTTGACAAATTTCTACTGGTTAATTGTGTCTACCGGTAGTCTATATCACCTATGGAAGAAAAATTATGACAAATGTCTTTGAAAACAAAAAATCATGTTGAATTGCACTAACTGAAAAAATAATGCATTGCATTAACAGAGCTTGCATTTTAATGCCTTGTATTTTTAGGGCTTGCATTTTTAGGGGCTGAAATTTAACATAGGTGTTTATTTAAACTGTGAATATTTAAATTCAAAACATTTCACACATTTTCATAATAAAAAATGCAATAATTCAAATTCACCTTCCAAAGTTCACCTCCAAAATATTCAATCTGTTTAAAAATAGGATGTATAACTTTCGACAGGATTATTTTTTCCGTTTTTCAGTGCAATTCAACATGCTTTTTTGTTTCAAAGACATTTGTCATTATTTTTCTTCCATAATCGTCCACCCCTCCATTTCCATGCACTGGGGGAAATGGGGGACTTAGGCAATTTGTGCTGCTTTTTTTTGTCCTGCCACAAACCCCAAGAAAGCTTCTTATCTAAACAACCCATTACAAATACGTCAGATCGAGGTCAAGTGAACCCAAAACCAGTTTATACAGGCTGTAAAAGCCTTCCAAAACAGATTATTTGACTACTCATTTAGGCAACATACTGACTAGTCAAAATAAAGTACTTTTGCGCATCCCTACCTGGTAGACCAGGAGTGTCCAATCCTGATCTTGGAGGGCAAAGGTCCTGCAGAGCATAGCTCCAACCAGCTCCAACACTACTGCCTGGAAGTCTGAAGACCTTGATTAGCTGGTTCAAGTGTGTTTAATTGGGGTTGGAGCTAAACTCCACAGGACAGTGGCCCTCCAGGAACAGGTTTGGACACCCCTGTGGTAGACAATCTTGGTTGACCTGGTCAGAGATGATAGACCTTGGTTCCAAAATCGGTGCCAAAATTGATTGACCAGCTACACCAACTTAACCTGGTATGACCTGGTTTCTACAAGAATATCTTGGAGAGCAAAGACAATCTGATCAAAGTTACAGGAGTATGTACTCTGTAGGGCTGTGCGATATTGAAGAAAAATGTGATATGCGATAACTCATTAAATAATGCGATATTCGATATGCGATACGATAATGCTTGAAATGTCACATGCTCAGATGAAACAGTTTTACTCAGCTGTTACGGAGTCAGTTCTGTGAACTTCTATAACTATCTTGTGCCATATATATATGGTATTTGTATGTATGTATGTATGTATCAAGAGCTCCTGTAAAACCACAACAAATTCCTTGTGTTTGCACACACTTAAGTGGTGAATAAAGCTCATTCTGATTCTGATTCTAATATAACTAGCATACATGTTTCACTTTTTGTGAGAAGAAAGCACCCCTACAACAACTTCTGAAAGTGAACGGTA